ATTAATCTGGGATTGGTCTAAAATAAGTTCCTCTGAAATACTGTTTAGTGTAATGCTTTACCTCTTGATTAAACACTGTTCAGTAAAGAACTTGATGCTTGGCATTGTTGAGCATATGGTTAAAATAATTAAGGGTTTTTAAAATTATGTCAGTTTCAGAAAACTTGAAAGGATCCTAAAGTCAAAAATTAAAGTACCGCATGAGATAGTTGACTAGGCCTGCTCTTGTCCACCAAATGCAAAATCAGGCACCTGTTTAGAAACCATGTTTTTTTGGCTGTGCAACCCCAGAAAGCTGCTCCTTCCCATTCCCCCCAGCCTGCTCACACTCCACAAGCAAGACACAGTTATTCCACAGGATCTTTCCTCTTCTCTTTTTCTGGACGTTATGCTTTGCTCTTTGAGGAGACACCTTTGCATCAGATCCGGGATGAACTAATTGTTTCCTGCTGGAAGGGATTTGTTAAATTTTTGCCCCAAGAACAGGCTGGCAGTGACAGCAAGAGGAGGCTCCTGAAGCCCATCCTCTGCCCCACTGCTGGAGAGCAGTGCTCGTCACTCACAGGCAGAAGTCAGGACAAAGGGCTGCTTGTACAGCATCTCCCATCAGCCCTCCCTCCCTCCCTCCCTCCTCCTGTCATCCCCACCAGCTCCAGCTCTCTCTGGGTACATCTAAAAAGATACAGCTGCCAAGAAAGTGGAAGAGAGTGAACCAGAAGATAAAGGTACGTTCTGCTCCTGAAATTATTCCTTGTCTACTTGTTCCTTCTAGTTACAGGGTACAGAATTAGAAATACATATGGGAACATGCAGAAGAAGATTTGGGAGAAGCTGTTATATTGCAGGCAAGAGGTACCATTCAAGACAGTTGCATGGCTGGGATCCAGATAAAAATAATTCTTTTATTATCTTGCTTTTCTTCAAAGTTGGATACTACATAAAAACATCTGAAGTCACTAAATATAGTATATTGCCTTCCAGTGCTCAATAAATTATGGAGAGAGGTGTCTTCACAATGAATTGCTGTCTTAAAGAAAACAAAATGGGGTTTAATGAGAACTCAGTTTCTGGAAAGAATCATGGTATTGATGACAATTACAAAGCAGTAATTCACTGAATTTGTCCTCAGTGGAATAGCTGCTGTCCTTACAGTGTTCAAGGAAAATAGATTTAAGAAATTTTTTTTAATGGAAAAAATCTTCATAATATTATCAGTTATGCAGCTCTTGTGTAATGATTTTTTTAGTAATGCACTAATAAACCTAACTATCAAGCACAAACACACCTAAATACTAAATCTCAGCATTTTATTTTGAATAAGTGAAATAATTTTAATATATATTTGCTTTTTTTAAGTGCAACTTGCTAACCTGGCACATGCCACTGGGCAGACTGGAAAAGAACATACACCAAAAGTGTACCAATTAATGTATTTCTTGTTTCCAACATTAGGCATCTAGAAATACAGCCTACTTAAGGGGGAAAGAAGGGTATATTTAACGAAGGATTGATATTTTAAATGGTTTATAGACCAACCTACAAATATTTCTATTTTCCCAACCATACAGGATCTCAAGAAATGCCAAGATACACATTTGGTGCCATTTTTCAGTTTTCTCTATTTCTAACACCTGAGCTCCTACTGATACCATGTGACCCTTAAAGGACATCACTTCTCATGAGCTATTACCCTGTTGTTCTTGGACAAGGAGGCTGAGACTTGGGGTTTTCTCTTCAGTCTGACTACCTCTGCATCTAGTGGATCCAAAGACTAGATGGTGCCAAAGTGCCTGGCAAGATAATTCAGATACTCTCAGCTGAACAAGCAGAGAGAGACAGCACTAATTCCTGACTCATCACACATATTCCCAAACTAACCATTTTCCTTTAGGAAAAGCTCCAAACTATTTCAAAGCACTTGTATTCCCCAGGTGCATTTGGTCTTAAACCTTACTTACACCACATCAAAATAATTAACTGAAAAGAACTGACACAAATGCAAGGAGCTCATTTTCAGTATTTTTAGATGGCTTTACTCCTGCTAGAATTTGAAATGATAAAATCTTGATAGAGCAAGCAAGGCTTAGCATGGCTGGCATTGCTATCTTTTCAGAAGGTTTTATAAAATAAGGAAATGTAAGAGGATGCTTGCTGGCAATGAATGAGTCTTTGAGCCACATTAGTGACTGGATTTGTTCATCGTATTTTCCTGATTTTTCTTTGTGAAAAAAGCCTATGTTCTGTGCAAAAGCAGACAATGCCTTTGACACTCATTTTGAAATAAACATGCATACACTAGCTCTGTTCTTTACCTAGGCAATCAGTGACACTGCAACATCTGTTCAACCACACTCAGGATAAGAAATTGCAGCAGCTTGTCAGACAGAGATGCTGCATCTGAAAGGTCTGCTGAGTTTACCCGCATCGATCCTGTGCAGGGAGCTGATGAAACACTTCAGCTCCTTGGCAATCCTACATTTGCAAATGGGGACTGTTCTCTCTCCCCCAGGAAAGAAATACCTGTTTGAAGAATGGTCTTTCGATAAAACGTTTCTGCTTGGCTTTGATCTGCAAAAAAAAATCCCAGAGGAAATATTTAGGCAGAAACGAAATTATAATATTTTTTTCTGAATAATAATAATGTTTATCATTGGTAAGATGCATAGCTGGTCAGAGGAGATGTCTATCCATAGCTCTCCAGCATGTTGACTTTGCTAATACTGATTTTGGCACCCACCCATAGAAACCCTCCTGATGACATATCACAGCAATATCCTATTATTTTTCAAGGCAAGTAGTGAATTACAGAATCACCTTAAAAACTGTAGGCCATTATTTTTGAACCCAGTAATTTGACAGTGTATAGAGAATGTGCCTATTTTCGAGATGAATTTGCCTATTTTTCAGAAAGTGAATTCCTACAAATTTTGAGGAGATAGGTAGCTGTAAACAGATTCAAATGAGCATTTCAGTTGAACTCCAGGTAGGGAAGGATCACCTGGATTATTAAAATTTTTTTTTAAAAGTTCACAAGAGCAAGGTATCATGAATGCCTCATTCTCAGTAGAAGAACACAGAATAATCCAATCACAGGAAACAAAGGCATAAACCCCCTCCTTCCTAATTTTCTATTTCATGGAAATTTTCTTCTATTAAAGACTTAAATAATTAAGTTCAACCATTTCAACAGAAGATTAAATTGTAATCCCTGACACTGGCATTTATCTAGGTATAGTATAAATAAATTTTTTCTCTTTAAGCATTAGACTTCTCTGAGCAGAACCCTCATAACTAAAGTGTTTATACTCCTACAAAATAAAACCATAAATATAATAACACAGATTCTTCACTCAAGTCTAAAATACACCAGGCAAGGTTAGAACAATGTTTACTTTATTTGAGTAGTAGTTTTGAGGTCGAAGACTAATAAAGACAATATGTTATTCAATACTGCACTCTGAGGTAATTAAAAATAGATCCCCAAGGCTCCATTACTAGTAGTTTATAGGAGTCTTCTACTCAAAAGTTCCCATACAAGTTCATGGAAACAAAAGTGAATTATTCAATGAATTTTTCTTCTACAACAGAAGCCAAAAAAAAACCACAGAAGAGATTATTCTCACTTTACTCATGCTCTTTAATATATTGGCCACTTTTTAATATTTTATTTGTCTAGTGATATTAAAAAAACCCCAAGTATAAATATAAAAATAAATAACCAAAAATCTTTGAGGTGCTGTGTTTTATCCCTAATATGAATCTAAATTTCCAGATTTTCTTACGTGGCATTTTATTAATGGGTTGAGGAAATGGAAGATAGCTGTGGTGGCAAGAAAACTAACTGATAAAAATGACTAAAAAATACAGTAAATTTATATATTTAAAAGTTTACTGTTCGTTTTTCAAGGGTGATCTCAAGAATTTTACAAAGTAACCCATATTATAGTCACATCTACAGCTGGCATACCTCATTTTTTTCCTTATCTAGATAATAAGTCTACCATCTTAACATCATCTTTGATAGGCTTTGATTAGACATTGCCTTACACCTTGTTTTTTTTGGGTTAGCCCATTCTAATCTTCAGCCCCACAAGGAAGATCAGGGCTGGCCCATAACATCGTGTCAGGGCATCAATTCCAAAGTGCCAGCAAGATGAGGGACAGCAAAGTCTTCCTTAAGTCTTACACAAGCAAAATAATGAGCACACAGGGAGAGTGCTGGGCAGAGCTGGTCATTCTCTAGGTTCATTTTCAGAGCAGAATTCCTATTTAAATTCAGTTAAGATAACAAATCCATTTTGTTTGAACACGGGGAAAAGTAAAAAATCCACTCTCCATACCAATAAAAGCTCAGTTCAAACGTTGTTCAAAAACCTAATTTAAAAGTGAATGCAAGTTCAAGGATCCAAAGCTTTGTGGCAAGGTCAGACTGTGCAGATCAGCACAGACTATCAGAGCTCAGGTTAAACACAACGATAGAAAGCCTAGCGGCCAGCAGGAGAGTTTTGCAAGGAATAATTTATCCCACCTTTTAAAAAACCAGTTAAACCATGAGAATGTTCAGTAGAATGACTCAACTAGTAGTCTGCAGTACTAAACAAATCAAATAAAAAAGATTCTCCATAACGCTGTATCATACCAGAGCCCAGGACAGCAGCAGCTGGCAGCACTGCAGACAGCTTTGGCTTCCTCGGCTGCTTAATGCCCCAGTTTCTCACACAGCCCATGACACAGGATTCAATCAGCAAGCAGTTTTCCCACAACTTTGATGGGGAAGGATACTATTTATTTTACATGACTCTTGTTTTGACAGGCAGAGTGGCCAGGAAGGCAAGGACACACACCCAGACATTTCCCCCTGGTTTGGTAGCAATCGATACAATCACTTATACCAACAAGAAAATGTGGCCGGCTCAAAGCAATTTTCTCAAGGTGAGAGGCCACAGAAACAACAAAATTGCCAGCATCAGAAGCCTCAATTCCCAATGAAAGGATTCCCAAGGTTGTACAGAAGGTAATGAATATCAATTCTGCTGCAATATTATTTACCTCCTAGGAGAGAAAAATCTCCAGCACTCAGGCTCAGATGACCAAAACTTCACAGGAAAGAAAAATGCGAGGTAGAAAGCAGAGGAGGGGCACAGGTCTGTTCAGCAGCAACACCTGTGTCACACACCCCGTTTCTCTTTAGTACCCTGCTGTGGGAAGCTTGGCAGAAATGAAGACGGTCCCGGTGCTGCTGCTGCTGCTGAGCGCCCTCCTGGGTACCCCCGCCGTGCCTTCCCAGCGCCCTGCTTGCTACAAGAGGGCCCTGAAGGACCACAGCTGTCACAGCATCCCCGAAAGCACAGAGAACCTCCGACATGTCGACGATGGCCTGCAAGATCACTTTTGGGAAGGGAAGGGCTGTGAGGTGATCTGTTACTGCAACTTGAATGAATTGCTCTGCTGCCCCAAGTAAGATCACGCTTACTTCATGTAAACTTGTTTACTTCTTCACAACTGCCCACTGTTATTTCCATCATTTTAGAGTTTCCACATGCGGAATAAGCTATCATTTTAAAGAAATTCATCGTTTCAGATGGCTTGAAATTAGATCAAGATACAGCCAATTTTCTGTTACTGTCAGTTTTGTGTATATATTTGTTTTTCAGGGGCTCACCTAGGACTTGCTTAGCATATTTTGTAAACCTCCCTGTCCTATTAACAGGGACTTCAGCATTTGAATCACCCAAGTTTAGACTCCTCTGTTTGATCCAAACTAAGAATAAGTACATCAAACCCTTATTCACAGCATTTTGCAATGAAGATGTTTTCAGGACCACCAAAAAACCCTATTTGATTTCCGTTCCATGGAAGACAACTGTATTGCTATTCTGAAGTGCATGCACATATGTCAGTTGAACAGGAAATTCTGTAAAAATAACTGTTAAAAGCAGAAAAGCAAAGGAGGGGCACAGGGGTTAACACATACTTGGATAAGGCAAAGCGAAGATTGAGCACAAGAACATCAACACCTCCCTGGCTTGCTCGCACTGCTGACAAAGTTGAACAGTGAAGTTCTCACTGAACATGGGGTTTTCGTTGTTGTTACATAGAAAGAATATAACTGAGTTAAATAAACACCATCAGCCCATACTGGTTTTAGGTAATAAAATGTATTAAGAGGTATTATTTCATTCAGCTTTTCAGCAACATCTTTTCTTCAGTAAATTTGGATTAGAAATATCAACAATTCAAAACTTATTAATACTTCAGAGGCACCAAAATGTGATGGCATTATATAGGCAAACAAAAATGATTTTTTATATGTGCTCCTCTTAACACTCTCATTTCTCAAGTCCCCTAAAATCCAATTAAGGCAACTTTTCAGCACTTCTGTACAAGACTCAAGTTGAACCAAGTGCGAAAGACTTGTAAAGCTAAAAATCTCACATTCAAGCTGAGAGCAGAGTTTAAGTAAGATTTTCATCTTTCATTTTCCCTAAAACCAGATATGGTGTCCTCACCCTGAAGCACACTTTGGGTCTCTAGCTTCAACCTTTGAGCAGCATAGTAAAACCTCTTCCCCTGATACAAATACAGAAAATATTCCTTCCACCATCCTGTGGTACACAAGACCTGCTTTGCATCTGTGCTCTCAGGACAAACTGTACTAAAACAGTATGTGTGCACATGCCAAAGTCCTTTATTTTGATAATATAATCTCTTTGGTAAGTTTATTTTCTCAAAGTTAAAATACGAGGGTGGAGTTCTGCAACCTGGTCAGTCAACGGAAGTTTTGTCATTGCTCTCACAGCAGGCCAGCAGAGGTAGAAACTCAGTTACCTTCATTCAGACCTGCAGATGCATTTGCATTGCTGGAAGGACATTCCACAAACACAGTAACCCCACATATATCATGATACACGCTAAAAAATATCCACAGTGGGAAATGAATGTCATGTTAAAGCTCTAATAAACCAATGATCTAATTGCTTAAATATGTAATCCTATTTTTCAGGGATATTTTCTTTGGACCAAAGATATCGTTTGTGATCCCCTGCAACAGTCAATGATTCAAGTCTGCAAGTGAAGAGAACAGACATCATTCTACGATCATGTAATAATGTTTTCAAGGGGAAAAACAAAACTACCACCAACAAAAACAACTTCCTTTCTAACAACAAGTCACTGCCTCACTTTACACTGTAGAAAGAATTTCCTTTCTATACCTTTATGGAATATCAAATATGTAAGAAGTTTTCTTTTCAAATCTGGTAGCTAATTGCCATAAAGCCATTTCTATGGTTTAACAGACTGTAAAAGCTCGTAATGTGTCCTAATATGCATCCCCCAGCAAAAAGCATACCTCTTCTCACTCAGCACAATATCCTTAGCTAATTTGGACAAAGAAACTTCAAGCCTGAGCCTTCATGTTAGGAACACAACTCTCAGAGCAATTTATGGCAGTGCAGCTTCCTATTCCATCATTGCCATCACACTTTTAATGCCATTTTAAGCTGAAGCCACTCAGTCCCTGGCACTTCTGAAGAGAGGCTCCCATGTTCATGTTTAGGCATTTTAAAATGCCTGCACATACAAAAGGCATGCATTTCCATATTTGAAAGTATTTCACTAGAGTAAAAATAATATTAAAAATTGACACTAACAGTACTAAAGCACACTTATGTCTAACTAGTCACCTGCCTTGACCATGAAATCTCTAAACCCTTAAATTGCTTAATCTTAGCATTCAACATCAAAAATATTAGAACAACAGATTTTTAAATCAAGCTCTATTTGAAATACAGTACCCCAAAATTAAGTTAAGATACTGGGGTTTTTTTTAGGCTAGCCCTGTAAGGCAATAGCTACAGAAAACACAAAGATAATCATCTTAATATTTAAGAGGTATTGTGATCTATGAGATAGATACAGACACAAATTTTTGACCATTTTCCTGTTATATGGCAATCTGTATTGGCAGGTGTTGAGAAGTGACCACATAATTTTAAGCAGTCACCTGAATAAGCCACACTTACAGGCAGCAAGCCTGACTTGCTACCTTATACATATAAACTCTCTAGCTATCAAGTCAGTCACATGGAGTGTGCAGTGCTGAAGGAGCTGTGCAGTCTTCTCTCCTCAAAAAAATGCACTGTTCACCTAATAATCTTACACATTGGTCCAAACTGCTACCACCAGTTTGCCATGCCTACTTCATGTGTCAGTATGAAATATCACCAAGACTGTTTTTCCTCTTGTTAGTAAACTGGCTGGACACTGGGTGAGGGGGTAATTATACACAGCCAATAATAAATGTTTCAAGTAAATCTGTGTGCACTATTTTTGCCCTACTGATTGTTAAACAGCTTATGTCACCAGGCTTTTTTTTGTTTGTGGAATTATTCAAGCAGTTTGATTTGGGCTTCCTACCAAAAAAATCAATTGATAGTAAAATAAACTCCATAAATCTGGCAACCCAGTGAAAATATCCAAAGTCAGCGCTCTGTAAATAGAACTTATGGTATGTGCTCTTGTGTAAAGTCCTCTACAAGCTTCTAGGGTATGTTAACTTCTGGTGTTTGTGCCATCCAATTTCTACAAGAATCATGTTGCATATGCGTGGCACTCACAGCTTTGCCAAGCACCCATAGCAAAAAAAAATTAAGGCAGATACAAAGCTGGGTACTAAAGTTGGTGGCTTTCAGTTACCTTTCTTCCATGGCTCCTGGAAAATCCACAATCCACTGGAGCAAAACTTTGCTGCTTTCCACATGCAGCAAGATAAGGTCACTTAAGCTACTATTTTAAGACTGACTTTCCAAAGAAACTTGCTTTTGTTTCTTTCCCCACTCTCCTTCCCTCACACAGCTCCTTCTACAGGTCCTGCCAGGCCTAGGTGAGAACATTCAACCCTGTCATGCACTCAGAAAAACTCTTTATCCTTTGGATGTCCTATCCATTACCAGGTTCCCTGACTTTTTATGCAACTCACACATTGAAGGTAAGAAGCTTGAATGTGTGCAAAGGACATTTAGTAAACAAATTGACAGTCCCTGTAGTGAATTGGGCATGAAGAGGCACCTTCAAAGGAGCACCAATTTTAGCTGTCACTAGCTAGATATCACTGCCTTGAACTTAGGCCAGCACTGCAGAACTGTATTGTGGAAATACATAAAGCAGTACAAGTGAAAGAAATCATGCCACTGAGAGATACTGGGAAGGCAGCCAGTTTGAGGTTAGGGTTTATCATCATTCAGTTCTATGCAAGCATAACAGGTCAAAAAAAAGCAAAGTGAAGCATCTTAGTTGTAGTGATGCCAGTAGAGTAGTAATTTTCAGAAAAACTCAAAAGATTAGCATCAAGCAGATTAGATCATGGACATACTGCTTTCTCATTTTTCCCAAATTAAGAAAAAGCTTATCAACATCTGATAAGATTAGGAGCGGCAATGAATGCTAACTGAACAAGCTGAAGCCATGACCTCCAGCTTTAAGATGAAAACTATTTTCCCTCAGCTTTTTATTCATCCTATGTGCACAGCTTTAAGCAGAAAGAAATCATATTCCATACACCACACATTTAGACTGGCACAATAGTTGACAAAACAAAAAGTCATTCATAATACCATCTTCAACATCCGAATTTTCCAAGACAATCAATTAAAAGCCTAAGTATTGTTGCATATTCTTTTCCTTAAGTTACCATAAGTTTTGGGTTTATTGAGAGGCAGTTTTCTTTTAAACAGGCCTGAGCTAATCCATGCAATGAAAAAGAAACAGTGTGCCTGTTAGAAGAGCCTGCATTGACCCCACACAGGCTCGACTCTCATTCTCCAGTTAAGTTCTTAGCAGCAGTCCATGCAGACAAATGGAGAAGTCAGCAGGTAAAGGATTGCTAACCGAGTCAAAGGACTTCTCAGCACAGTAAGCTGCAGCAGTCTCTTCATCTGTACTTACAGCTTTGAAATTCAAGAGCTGCATTATTTTCCATTTTAATATAGGAGCAGGAAGGCCTCAGTGCTTGGAAGCACGCATCTCAGCAATGACAAAATGAATAAACAAATCAGAAAATCCTCCAATTCTTGTTTCCAAAGGAAAAAAAAAAAAAGAAGAGTATTATTCAGCCATTTCTGCCCAGCTAAGAACAGAACTAACACTTAAAGCCTTTTACCTTACAAAAAAGAACCTATTACTAAGTCTGCTACAGCATTTTTTTTAAAGGCATTGCATCTGAGCACTTGAGGTACATTTATAAATATATCCTTGGCACATTTTAATTGAAAAATATTTTAATATTATTACATAATTCATCAAAGCTTAACTATTAAGTACAAGTATCACAGAATCTGCTGAGCTGGATGGCACCTGTCAGGATCGAGTCCAACTCATTAAAATTACAGACACACCCATTTGAGCAACAATATCAGTGATATTTATTTAAAATACTTTTGCTGAGGAAATTTGTTTCATAAGAGATGGTTTTCAAACAAATCAGCAAGGTTATGAAAAATAAAACAGACAAACTCTCTCAGGAGAAAAAGTTACAAAGAAAGTTTTTGCATATCAACAAAATCTCAGTCTTTTGATTTGCAGCCTGAGTCTCAGTCCCAACCTTTTCTGCCTAATGAACCCCACTATCCATCTTTAGATCTGGTTTGTTCTTGTCATTCTTCACCGAGTAGATGAAGTATGTTAAGGTGTCCTTTTCATTCACTGGAATTGTCCTAAAATGGCAGCCAATTATCTATAAAGGAAGAATGCAAGGAAATTAAATAATTACTCTTACATACAAAAACTGAAGATTCAAATTTAAGCGTAGTACATTAAAGCTTAAAAGACTGATTAAGAAGCTTACAAAAAAGGAAATATTCCCTCTCTTCAGAAGTCTTTAGTAGTCATAGAAAGATAAACAGGAACCATTTTACCGATAACTGTGAACTAAATGTAGCAGATTGTACCCCTAATTTCCAAAGTAAAAAGCTGATAAATTTTTCAGGGAAAAAACCCTTCAAAGGTATCAGAACAATCATAGTTACATCTGTTTAGTTAAAGCTTGAATATAACAGGTAACGACTACAGAATATCAACAGTGACAGCACAGTTATGAGAGGCTACTGCTCTCCACTCAGCTTGGGAGATGGTGTCTGCATCAAATCACATACAGAAATACCTAACACAACACAAAAAACTATCAGAGAACTATAACTGAACATTAGCTCTTCAAAACAGAGCTATCAATGAAAATTCACCATGCTGTAACCACAGAAATATGACAATTTGTAAGCAGTTCTTGAATCACTTGTCATTTCGGCAGTCTTTCCCTTCATCAAAATGAACACCAGCTTTTAAAGAAAGTTGCAAAATATTGCCACTGAGTCTGTTCTCCGGCTTTTTGCCAGATTGGTAGATTAAAATTATGGAGTGAAAAACATAGGACTGCTCACTTAAGCACCACAGGATATAAGAATAAATGTTTAGCCTAACTAAAAAGTTAGGAAGCTTTCTAAACTCTACCCCAAAAGCATTCACAGAGAAGAAGTTTGACACAGTAATTTGAAGGGAACTCTCAGTTCCAGAAAGAACAGCTAGAGCAGTGTCAATGGTATGTTAGGACAGATGACAAGGGATCAAATGTACTGTATATTAAGGAAGCTCTGTGGCTATGGCTCACAAATACCTTCAGGTCAGTCAAATCAAGCATGTGGCAGAAGCAGCTTTGCCCATGCACACGATGCAACATTGGAATAACTTAGTGCAAGTACCATGAGATGTACCTAAAGCAGACCCTTCGAAACACCAGTTTTGCAGAACAAAAACTGCTAATTCAAAGAGCTAACATACATATAAGAAAATGGGACACTGATTTTGCATTCTTACTCTTAGTGGCAGCAGGAGTAGTCTTTTACAGTTCAGCCTTGAGAACACCCATACTTTTAAGAGTCTTGCTTTTAATTCACACAGATTAAGGAGAGATGAAAACAGTGTCTGCACTTAAATACAGCTGAATGTATCACCGCACAAAAGTGAAAAATAAGTAGCTATACGTTCCTGTTAAGATCACCAGCTCTTCCACTTATTTACATCAATATGCTGTGACTGCACCTTTGCAGCTCTAAAGAATTCCTTTAAAATTGCACTCATGTGAAGTGAAGATGCTAACATACAGCTGTACTGACATGCAGCTTCAGCACTTTTAGAAACAGTAAATTCCACAAAATTCCAGTTTTCCGACAGCAAGTTCCAGTGGTTTTAACAGAATTAATTACCAATAGAAGTATGTTTTTTCATGTTTCTTCATATATACAGAAACCTATGGTTGTAGTAACTAGCTTTTTAAAATGAAGTCTGAGCCTCACCAGAACTTCACTGACACCTCCCTGTTTCTAGTTCTTTTCAGCAGGACATTTCAGGTGAAGCTGTGATTGATGCATAGACAGAATAAATTCATGATTCTGTGATATTCAGGGGCATGAAGATATTACTGTTCCAGCTAAACACTGTGTTTTTAAGCAGCACA